AAACCCCAAGTGCAAGGCCTCACAATCCTAAGCCCTAAGCCCTAAACCCTAAACCCTAATCCCTAAACCTCTACCCCAAACCTCCGAGGAAGGTCGTCCGTGTGGACCTGTCCGACATGGCTGAGTTCGCTGCTGCCGTCAAGAATCGGCCGCCCGTCGGTTTCAGGTCTCTGTGGGTATGGAGGGGTCCCCGCAATAAGGATCCGACTCAGGTCTTTTGCTGTAAACCCCCAAACCCTAAACCCTAAAGGCTACTTTATGTTGTGTCGAGCCTTGCTTGCTTGTGCGAGAGAGGGAGAGTCGAAACCCAACACCTTGCCAGGCTTCTCCGGGTGTGAGTGTCAAAAACCCTACAGCCCATGTGGTCTTGGATTCTGGGTTTAGGAGATCTGGAACCTAAGCTTCAAGTATCCTGCCTGAACGCCCTGCAATGCTCTTGCGTCGTCCTAGCTAGACCGGGGGCAACAACACCCCAAACCCGTCAAGGCCCCTAACCCCCAAACGCTGAAGAACACTCAGGTTCGTATTCCAGACCTGCGTTGCTCGCTCCCGCTTTCGAGTGCTGGGAAACCGAGTCCGGGTCGAAATGACAGCGGGGAGCCTGCGATTGCACTTGGGTCGGATTCCTTCACGCTTTCGAGAGGGGTTTCGAAAAGGGTCCTCTACCTCAGTTACCTCAAAAGCCCAGTTGGCGGATCAGAGGCGTTGCTGCGTCGAATTCGCCTAGGTCCTAAGTTGGGCTACAGTATTTGATGGCCTTACAAGGTGGCCTGATCCTGTAAGTAAGCCTTGCAAGCCTAAGCTCAAAGACCTTCGTAGAGCTCAGAATAACCCCCTGCAAAATCGATTGCAGGCCTTTTGGAGAGAAGGGTCTTGGGGATGTCCTCTACTGGTAGGAATTAGCAGATTTAGCACGGGCCGCTGTTAAGCTACGAGCAGCAAGCGCGCAGTGCTGTCGATAGCCTTCAGGGTCTTGTTTCTACTTCTACTGCTGGTCTGACTGTGGTGTTGTACGCATATAGAATCATAGACGAATACTCAAGGGTGACCCATAACCAGTAAGCCAGGAAAAGTCGGAATATCTTATGAGTTCGGAAACTTGCATTGCAGACAGAGAGGCCTGCCACAGCTTTTTACAGAGCGGGACTTGTTAAGAAACAGACCTACGGCCGTCAGAGTCTAACCGAGTCAAGCCCTAAAGCCGAAGCTTGATTTCGATGTCTTGTCATTGCCCCTTGTGACAGCATGCCCTGTACGCCTGACGAGATCCCTGCAAGACGGACCTTGTAAAGCTTTAATAGGATCAGGGCCCCATGGTAAGCGCCCCCTGCTTTTCGAAATCCCACTTTCAGCTCCCTGTGCTCGTGTGGACGAAGGAATTGGAGTCGGGTCCTCGATGTTGATTCCGATATGACGACGCTTGCTTATGGTGTCAAGGACGCATGCCGCGCTCAAGAACTATCATCAGGTTGTTCCATGCCCACTGTGAAGATGCCTGACTTCGCAGGATATTTTCATGCGCCAACAAGCGATTGAATCGCTGGTTCGGCATAAGGCGGGCAAAGCTCGGGAAGGACAAGCTGGAAGAGTTGGTCGGGGAGTCCTACACTAGAGCCAAATCCTTAGGCCCTTAAGCCCGAAGCACCTAACCGAAAGCCCAAAAAGTCCAAGCCACGTAACCCAGACCTTTAAACTGTGAATCTTAAGCCCCAAAAACAAGCTAAACCCTTGACCTCTAGAGGAAGAACTAACGAAGAGGGCTATTTCCGCAAGCTTTAGCTCTTGAAGCCGTTTCGCTACAGAGGGCTGTGGTTCTTTGTTGTTCTGCTCAAAAGGGTTAATGTTGGATTTCAGGATATTGGATAGGAGGTTTAGAGCTGCAAGGTTAGGCTCTGAGGCGTTGCGATGCACAACGGGGATTAGTGTGGCTTACCCGTCAGGCTATAAAGGTAGTGCGGAAGCCTTCATTCATCTAGCGTTCGGAGGTTGTATACTGTAACTACATTGCGGAATCCTACAGACACAGCGAGCAGTTCCTGCGTCATAGTTGCCACACTGGTGCTTCTGCCGTATCTGCTGCCTTTTGAATCCTCTTCTGTTCTTCCAGTTGTGCTGGAAACTATACTTGCAACGATGACAAGACCAGGATCCTACATCCTAAAGCTTAAAAGACCATGATCCTACATCCTAAAGCTTAAACCGTTAAGCCCCATAAGCAAGAAGCCCCCCCCCACAGGCGACGAATACCCTTTTCGACGCGAAAGACCACCTGCGGCGCGAGCGGCTGTGAGAACTGTCTTGTACCTCCCTTCCCACAGCCGGGAAGATTGTCTCAAGCCAAGACCAGTGTTCATGCCTGTGTCAGCACGACCTTTGCAGCAAAAAAAAGATACTGAAAGCTACCAGCACTTCTGTAACCCAGTCCCCGCAAAGAATCTGAACACAGAGCCCTGGAACCGGCCCATTGTTAATGTATATAGTAGCTACATACTTGGACGTCGGAGTTTGAGACACGCCACGATTTTCTTGCGGACGGAAGACGGCGACTTGCTGGAATGCCCGGAACAGGCGAGAGTCCTCGGTATGTGCGAATGAACCCTTTTCTAAGCACAAAACTTCCCAAATCTAAGCCTAAAAAAACCGAGGCAGGTCGAGGAGTGCCTCAGCAAGCGATTTGGCTCCCGTCCCACGTAAATGCTTCGCAAGGGCCCGTGTCTGGCACCTCCCAAGCTCCAAACCCGAAGGCGCAGCCATTCTACAAACCTAGCCTTGATTTTAAAACAGGGTTCAAGGTTTAGGGTTTAGGGTTTAGGGGTTTAGGGTTTAGGGTTTAGGGGTCTAGGGGTTTAGGGTTTAGGGTTTAGGGTTCTAGGGTTTAGGCTAATTTTTCAGTTGCAATCCAGAGCCGTAGCATGGACTTCATCCACCCTGAGCCTGCCAGCACGGGCCCTAGGCGGTGTGTGCCCGAGGCCGAAGCCTAACCCCTAGCCGTGGGTGATCCGAGTCCGAGTACCTTCAAGCTTCTTCCGGGGTCCTCATAGTAAGGCTCCTATGACCTTCCGAGAATCCCATGCTGCAATTAGGGCCAGCACTATTGTTGAGGATATTCAATCCTTAGGTGTAGCAAACATGTCTTGTCGCAGGCACTTCGTATGGCTTCCTGTGGTTTGTCCCCAGAGAACCCAATACCCCTTAATTAAGGAATATACGATATTATAGTTTAAGCTATCTTCCTTAATTAAGGGGTATTGGGCTCTCTGGGTCTTGGGCTGGTTTCACGTTTTTCTTCGGACGACTTTCGTGTACTGGTAGCGTCACTCCCTGCCGCCTGGCTAGCCTGGCAGGTAGCAAAACCATTTGGGACTTTCCGAAGATAAGGGGGGGGGGGGGGTACCTTATTTTGGGGTCCTTTTAATAAGGATCCTACTATTTGGGGTACTATATTAGGGTCCCCTATTTTCGGAAACCCCCATTTGTGAGATTGTGCCACACACACACACACCTTCAGTTCCTGTTTCCTCACCTCAATACCTAGAAGTGGAAACCCCAGACCTGCCCCCGGTCAAGATGATGGGATGATGCCCGAACAAGCCTTGGGCACCACCTACTGGAGACACCTTTGTCCTGTTGCAGCCTCCGATTAAATTGGAGAAGTGCCGCCCGAAGCTGCAAACTCCAACATCACGCCGAACTCGGATGTATACCAGATCATAGGCGCCAACCTGCTTGCCAGTGCTTGCTTGTTTGTCTCTTTTTTTTGTTTGTTGTTCCTGCGCGGCCGGCGTGTTGTTCTCGTGTTCTTGTTGTGGGCGCCTTTGCTGCTGCTGCTTCTGCTCTGTGGCTGCTTCTACGACCATTGCCGATGCCACTGCTGACTGCGGGTCGCCATCACCATCAGTCTCTCCACGACCATTCCATGTGCTGGCTCTCGCCGTACTTGTCTGCATTATTCATCCTTTCGAGCATGGCGCCCGTTATGTTCATCGTCCTCACCATCTTCTTCTTGGCACTGGTCGCCATCGTCACCGTCGCCTGCAACATTTGTATCACCTTCACTATGTCTACCAAGTGCAACATTATCCTTGCATCATCTTTTCACCAACCCGTATCGACCTTGGCATCATAGGCTTGGCGCCTCCCAAAGCCTTCCCCCTCCCGTGATTTGCAGCTTCGGTTTGGGTTTCATCCACCGGAAAAGGTGTGGCCAACCCAACGACAAAGCGACGGCCCGAAAAAGCCATTCACCGGATCCAGGGTCCCAGGCCTTAATAATTAGGGAATAGGGTTTAGGGTTTAGGGTCTAGGGTTAGAATAGGGTTTTGGGGGTTCCTCATTGTTTTGTAGTATATTATACCCCCCAGTAGAAGAAACATCAAACCGACAGCTCTGATAAGACAGCTGGCGGCACGGGGAGAGCGACAATGATGATAGTCGTCTCTGCGAGTTGGAGCTGCGTTGCTTAGAGACCGCGAGAGCGAGCAGGAGTAGTGATCGTACTACTGGGAGGATCATGGGACTTAGTAAGTAAGGTTATAGGTCCCTTAATTTGGGTTATAAGTAAGTGTAAGTATAGATACCTTAGTTATAACCCTACTTACTAAGTCCCATGATCCTTTAAGTAGGTGCTCACCATGGCCCAGAGAGCCCAGTACCCTTAATTCAGGAATATACCTTAAATTATAGGGGCCTTAATATTATAATTTAAGCTATCTTCCTTAATTAAGGGGTCTTGGGCTCTATGGGACTAGGTGCTCACCATGGCAGGCTCAGACGACGGATCGGATAGAAGTCCCCTCTCGCTGCAGTGCAGAGGCGACAAGGCTTTCAGGTTGCACCTCCATAGGCCGCCAGCGACGTCTGAGCTATAATTGTTGCATAAACTGCTACTACATTAGTAATCCAGGCTGATTGTAAGTTCGGTTTTCTCAAGTTTATGGGTAGCTTAATCGCTAAGCCTTAAGTCCCCCAGATGCTTCACCAAAGTTGCTTGTGTCGCGAAGGGTGCCAAAGCCTCCGTCGACGGTGGGACTCAGGCGGAACCTTGCCGCTGCCTCAGCTTTTCTTGGGCGGTGGGGCGATGAGTCACGTGGAGGCAGCTCCTCAGAGAGGAGCCTAAATCATCACCAAGGCCTTTGTTTAGGCTTTCCTGTTACGTGCTTACTATATCCCCACGTTTTGGGTTCACCCGTGAAAGCTCCTTAGGAGGCTTTAGCATTATTCCTTTTTCCCTTGCCCGTCGCGCGTTGCTACGGAGACCCGTCCGCTTCATGCTATCAGTGGACCGGAAGCTTAGCCATATTCCTCCAACAAGCTTGTTCGTGGTTGCAATCCGCTGGTCTACGGTACTGCTGCAACGGAAGGGGGCGGTCCTCTTTGAGCAAACGTATGGAGGGTTGAGGCCATCGGGTTTCGAATCCGTGCTGTGGATCCCCTACACCTCCAATCCAAGCCCTCCCAGCAAGTTTGATCCCTCATTCAACCCTTGCCTGCACTTGTTCGAGCGTAAGTGTCAAAACCGTAGACCCTAAAACTTGAATGGGTGCAGCAGGTGATTGGGAGCATTGGTATCCTGGCGGCCAGCTGCTCCAAACCGCCACTGGGCGATTCCATGTATGTGGGAGTGCGCTAGAACTGCACGATCCGGAAGGGCTACTGAAGAGCTAGTGGAGACTTTGACGTGCAAGTGATGCCCAAAACTGGAACCCCCAAGCTGTGAGAGTTGAAACATCTTCGTACTTCGGCTCAAGCCAAGTGGCTTAGGGAGTCTGGTCCGATAGAAGCACCAGGCAGAAACATCGCGCGTTCATCGACGCAGGACGCTTAGTCTTTCCGATGACCGACGCGCGGGTGTCGTGGCTCCAGCGCACGGTGCAGGCCGTGCTGCCCGTAGAGGGCGAGAAGTGGGCTGCACTTCTCCAGGATGAGAAGGCCAAACAGGACTTGGCGTACTTTCTCGACTCCGCCCCAGAGAACACGACTGCCCTGTTCTACCTGAGACTCGTCTCGGAGCAGTGCACGAAAGATAGTGTCGAAGGCGCGGGCGAGGAGCTGCCTGCGGGGGATGAGGAAGGTTCGGCGGCCGGGGCCGAGGAGCCGGCCGAGGAGGTGGTCCTAGACGTCAGCGAAGTCTATGTCGGAGATATCGAGGAGAAGGAGACAAAGAAGTCCTATGGGCGCTCTAAGACACTGAACCGGGATACCACCCAGATGCTCTCTCGTGAGGTGCTGACGCTCACGGTTGGCTCCATGATCGACTGCTCACTGGATCGGATGTGCCTTTATTTCATGAAGCACATCGGTGGCGCCGTGAGTCCTGCGACCATTCAGCGGGAGGTCACCTTCGGCACCGTGGAGGGCACCTTCCTCCGGGACTTAGAGGTGGGAGTTGCAGCAAACAAGATAACTAAATAGTGGGATCCTTTTCGTCAAGACCTCGCAGTACCGTCCATACCCCAAATATTCAGCAGCCGCCAGGTGATGAAACCCAAAACAACCTTACGGGACCATAAAGCCCTTCAGAAAATCCCCCGCTCTCCGAACTTTGCTACCTGTGGTGCTTAGTCGCGATTCTTATCTTAGGTCCCTACACCTGGAACCCTAAGCCTGGAGAGAGTTGCGAGAGTCCAAGCCTCAAGAACTCATCTGGGTTTAGGGTTTCAGGGTTTCGGCGCCAAAAACCTCAAGAGCTCAAAACCCTAAACCCTAAACCCCGAAACCCCCAAACCCCTGAACCCAAAACCCTAAACCCTAAAGCCCCTAAAGCCCCTAAACCTCTAAACCCTAAACCCTAAACCCTAAACCCTGAAACCCTACAGCCCCTAAACCCCTAACCCTCTAAAAAACCCTAACAGGTGATGATGCGGGAGATCTACATCCCGGCTTTGAGCAACTGGGTTCTTGTTAAGGAGTTTAATTTAAGGTACCATAATAGGGATCTATAATAAATAATACGGTTTCCTTATTGTCGCAACTTAAATTAAATCCCTTAACAAGAACCCAGGCAAGGG